TGGGTCCTATGAACAAAGACCGATGTCCTTTGGGCCGCTCAAACAAGTCCGACCTCCTTTGGGTCGCTCGAACAAAGACCGATCTCCATTTGCCAACCTCTCAACGCGTTCATTTTGAAGTCTCAGAACAATCTCTACGTTTTGATTCCACACAAAGGAGTGTTGGATAATCATTCTCTAATATGTTTGAAACAAAACCTGCAAACCATCACTTGAGTTGGATGTCTGTTGCGAGAACCACAAGATTAAGAAGCGGCGAATGCAGAAACGGCCGAAATGGAGATCGGTCTTTGTTCGAGTGACCCGAAGGAGATCGGTCTTTGTTCGAGCGACCCGAAGGAGATCGGTCTTTGTTCGAGTGACCCGAAGGAGATCGGTCTTTGTTCATAGGACCCATCGAATTGCAAACGGGACAAAAAGACATGTGTACCGACTTCTGTCTTTTACACTAAGAAAGGTATGTTTTAATTGTAAGTAGTATAACATGAGAGAGAACATCTTGCGAGTGATTTGTCGGCCGTTATTCGTACGACGAAGAATGCTCTTGAAAGAGTACTCAAGAATACTCGTAAGCTATACAATAAACCCGAAATTTAGGATTTCTTGCATATGGTAACCCTCTTTATAAATGATAAAAAGACTATAAAAAGGCTGACAATATTTTTTTAAACAAATACATAATTCAAAGTTGCAATGCAAGTAACAAGGAAAAGGCACCATTAAAAAAATCAGTTGTTTCTTTTTTTGTAAATTTATTAAGCGTGCGCACTCAGGTAATAGAAGCACAAAGACAACCGACAGAAAGTCGAAAATTAAGAAGATACTTGACAGAACAGGCTTTCCTTTCGTTATGAAGATTTAACTATTCATATGATGGATGCAAAACAAAAAATACTAAATAAACCTCTTTTAAAGACCCGGTAATCGTCTATGCGATTTTAGAATATCAGTTAAAGAAGCTCAGGCGCTAAAAAGAGTCAGCAATCACAAAGCTTCACATCCCTAACAACCGGCGCGTAACACACTACATCAACACTAAAGTCAATCTTGCAGAAAAAGTCCGTAGTAATCTGTGCCATCAACTTTTTGCTAGATTTCTGATCATGACACCAGACTGCTTCGAACGTGAACTCTCGCAGCAGCACCATCCTCCTCAGCTTCTTGAGGCCGCAATAGAATCAGTGGCGAAGCTTGGTTTCCGGTCCATGCAAATGACTAAAGTCTCTTTGTTTCTTTCCGTGAACATTTTGGCTTGGCACATAACTATTACAGTCGGAAAGAAAACGATAGGTCTGATCAAGTGATATTCGACCAGCATTTACTTCGCCTCGCAACCCTCGTTGCTCTCATTGCATAGCACATCCACACTTAAACCACCATCGCGGAAAAAGAAAGCTATTATCTGCGCTTTCTGCTTCGTGCAACTCTCCTTGTCATGGCGACAAAATGAATCGTAAGCATCTCGTCGCAGCAGCACTATCTTCTTCAGCTTCTTGAGCCCACAACGCACCAGCTCCCTGGCGAGGTCGGGGCAGCCGTAGGGCTCCGTGGAGGCCGCCACCAGCTGCAGCTCCTCCAGGGTGTCGGCGTGCGCGCGCACCAGGGCCAGCGCCGTGACCAGCGGGTGCACGCCGCAGCGCAGCCACCGCAGCCCCGCGGCAGTCCCCGGGAACGCCAGCACCGGCAGCGGGGCGTCCGGCGGGCAGTGCAGCTCCAGGCGGCGCAGCGACGCCATCCGGACCACCTGCTGCAGCTGCGGCCCCGTCACGTTGCACACGCAGAGGCCCTCGAGCAGCGGCATCGCCAGGGCCGCGTCCAGGTGCTGCTGCTGCGGCGACACCAGCTGCAGGGCCTTCAGGCGGGGCGCGACCTGCTGCAGCACTATCAGGCTCCAGGCAGGGTCCACGTCGCAGTGCAGGCCCAGCAGCGTGCGCACCTGAACAAGGCACCATCATCGCTTAGTGAATTTATCAAATTCAATTTTTTCGACACCGTTTTCGTTTGCGTTCCGTTTGCGTTTTGGACACCGTCCTAACACTCTCAGACCCATGTGGACTTTTTATTGAGCAGACGTAAAACGTAGTATTTTATTTTTACCTCTGCACATTTTCTTATCGTTTTTAAGAAAAGGGACTACAGAAATTAAAGAGTATGTTGCAAATGACAATAAGTTAGGTTTGATGGATTGAACACCCTTGTATGATAAACAAAATCGTACAAAGGTGATAAGAAAATAGTAAACGTTTGCGCTAAAATCTTTTTGGCAATGGATAAAATGTCGTACGAGGCCGAGAATGTAACTTGTTAACAATGTAGCCCTTTAACGCTTCCTTGAAGTTGAAAATTTCAACATGTTTCACAAGGTCAGGAAACGTTAAGTTACTTCTGAAAATATATTTATGACGTACAAAAAGAGAACTTGGTGGTTTTTATGACACTAAGTAACTTTAACACTATTTTTCTCTGGTCATTTGTCACGTATTTCACTAATCCAACAACGAACTCATCTCTAGTGTCATAGAACTCTGCGATGAACACAGTACGTAACCAGCACCGCCACCTTACCCATGAGAAGTTAGTGCCTGCCAGTAGTTCTCCCTTGGGTTTTATGTCGACGCAGAAACTGATGGCAGCAACGTCGAGGACTCCTTCCTCTGACCCAATGTGTGGTTTCTGAAAACAGGAAAGCAGGCTGTAATGAGACGGCCTAGGGAAGGAATACCATTTAAGGGGGTTCCTCAGGAGGCTGAGATTTGCAATGCAACCCTTTCGACTGCCACTCACCAGCTCGGGCGGCAGCAAGCGGAGTACTTCGGCGCTTCCCTCTTTAAAGTGAGACCTTATTCCGCCGGTGCGGCCCCATTTCACGTGTACTACCGTCGTCCATATCCGCCTGCCTTGCATTCTAATCTCTCCAGTTCCGACCTGTGTGACAGTGCCGGGTCCGGGAGGCGTGCCGTCGTAATCGTCCCCGTCCCTCCAGCCCGGTCCGCGCGCCACCCTGCTGCCCACGCTGAAGGTCACACTGCCCTCCCCGTCCACCTCGGCCTGGTTGGAGCGATCCTCCCAGAGTAGGGCTGCGGGAAAGAATTCGTTCCGGAGGCAAGGTATGAATGAGTCATAAGAGAGAGGATGGATGGACCATGCGGAGTGGGGACCTCACCGATATCGCCCATTTCCTGCTGCCGCCCAGGTTGTTGCTCCGGCGCGCGCAGCCCCCCTCTGCAGACCAGTTGGCACAGCAGCAGCCTGGCCGCCGCGTCCTCCGCGGGCCGCACCTCGCCGGTCCACGCCACTGGCCCCCCAGCAGCGCGCCGCACCGTCACAGAGCACGAGGAAGAGGGGCTGGACAGGTCGGCCGCCAGCTGGACCGCCGTCTTGGGCAATTCTGCGGGACACGGAAGTTGTGAGACGCCAATAAGTACTCAAACGCATGCTGGGCAAGTTACACACTGAAAAACGTATGCTTGGCACCGTGTAACTCCAGGCTAAGCATAGGCATGAACTACACTCGGCTTCAAGCTTTCCATTTTGCCTTGAGAAAAAATGACGGTAAATCCTGGATATTTTTTGCCAAACTTTACCGTACTTCATAAACCAGTATCCACCGTACAGTCTACAGTATTTACCGTACTTGTTTTACAAAATATTCCGTAGTCTTTAAACATTAGTTACCGTTCTTCCGTACAGTCCATGCCGTAGGAAGGACCAGATCTGGTCCCAACAAAGGCCGCTTTCAAGAATTGTCCACATCCCTTGCAAAATGGAAAATATATGGGCACTAAATGGACAAAATATATGGCCCAACATGTATTGACGCCATATGTGGAAAAGATAATTTAGCAAGATACTTTTCCGATATAAAAAATATGTGGCAAATATATAAATTTCATACATTGCTCTATATGTAGGCAATATATAGTGTGAATACACTATGGAGTCTGATGACTCAGAGACTTCCTGTACTATTATAAAAGAATGTAAACTTCGCCTTGCGAGGACACCAATTGTGGTCGCCTAGATGAACTTTTAGCCGCCTTTCAACATCCAATGCCAAGATTTTAAGAAAAGTTACTTGAAAAGTCTGCCCTCCTCACCCTGCCCCATCCCACGACGGGCACCGTGTCAGATATTGAAGCGTACATTTCTCGAAGATAATGTTATATGGGGAAATATATGCATTATATATTAACGGGCATCAAGATATACCCCCATATATAAACCACGTATTGCGCAAGATAATTTGCAATATATTGAGCAAGATACAATTATATTGACAATGCATGAAACATATATGCAGTCATATATTGACACATATTTTCCATATATTTTCCTTTTAGCAAGGGATCAGGATCTTGCAAAAAGGGGGTCGACCGACTGAAAAATTTTATTGCACCTTTCGATAGGTCTCGTCAAGACCTTTCCAACGAGTGGTCGGAAGGGGGGTCCAGGAGCCCGACGTCAGCAGTTGGGTACATCAGGAACTTGGAAAAAGAGGGTCAACGGACTAAACAAAATTATGGCAGTTTTTGATAGGTATTAAAAGTACGGGATTGCCGGGTAAAAAAGTACGGAATTCCCTGAAAAAAAAGTACGGTGTTTCCTGTAATAAAAAGTACGGGATTGCCTGTGAAAGAACGACGGAATTGCCTGTTTAAAAAAGTACGGTGAGGTCTGGAGTAATCAGTACAGGATTTACCGTGATCTTTTCTGGCAGTGCTCCCGCCTATCTAAATGCGTGGGAGAATTTCTTCTCTACGCTTGACGTCAAGCGTTAAGTCTTCAAGCCTAGTTGTATGCTTGAATCAAGCGTACAACTACGCTTTACCAGTGTACGGAGAGGACTGTACGGTACTACGGACAATAATGTAAGAGCCTACGGAGAATGTTGACAAGGGGGCTACAGAAAATTACTACAAGCTGTTTACAAAACTTTCCGTAGCTTTTTGCCACAGAGTATTGCAAAATTTAAGTTGTTCACTTTCACCGACAAGCCTTACCGATCTGCAACACGGTCCGATGGGCCTGCTCCCATGCCGCCGTGTCCGCCTCCAGCGCGTCCTCCAGGCGGTTCCTCGCTGCGACCAGGTCAACATGGTGCCTCTCCAGCCAGTCGCCGCAGTCGTCCGCCTGCCTGGCCACGGCCGCCTTGTCCAGGACCCCGGCCAGCCCCAACAAGCCCGCCTCGCCCTGCCGGAGCGCCTCCAGGAGCGGCCCTGACGCCTTGGTGCGCTGCAGCTTGAGGCTGTGCACAGTGTGCGAGTCCAGGCATTCCTCGGTCGCGGCCTTCTCGCAGGGGATGCACCAGAAGCGTGGGGGCCTGGAGACAGACAGTGCATTGTTAACGTAGACAACGCTGCAGAATGATTCGGAGAGTCGTTCTCGTCGCTTTGACCATCTCGCACTTGCTCTACAAATCCAGAAGCGTACATTGCATGCTCTGCCTGGAGCATGCCTGCAAGCATACTCTAGCTAGCGCATGCCTGCGAAGCATGCACTTTACTGCAGGAAATAACCACAACAAAAGTACACAAATTTCTAGCAAATTTTTTTTATCAGGAATTTAGTGTACTTTTCAAGTACAACAATTGTTGTACGAAGTACAATGGAACTGGCATGAAGAGTGCTGTGCAGTGCAGGGCTCGTTGTGGTTTGTACAATTCTCGTACTTTCTACAGTCCCTGTCGTACTTTTACTGTAAAGTTTCTGTTGTACCTTTGTTGTACTATCTACACTTTTTCTTGCAGTGTTACTAGTGCATACACGCTTCCTGCTGCAGACAACTCCCTATCCCTTTAACACTAAATATGTGCTCCAGTTCATTAAGCAATGTACGCTTTTGGATTAGCGTGCACGGAAAGCCCCATGAGTGCGCCTGCGGGTCAAGTCATCACATCCATTTGACACTGAGACTTACTTGAGCGGCGCGTTGAGCAACTTGTAGTTGTCGATCAAATTGTCCAACTGGAACACCTGCGGACCGAAGGAGAATGGAAGAAGAATGGAAGAAGAATTACCATTGGAGTGTTTTCCTCTCTCCCCCTCACTGTTGCAAAAAATTTGGAAATATTCAAGCACTTTTGATGACAATTTTCCGAACACGGAAATGAATTTTACTGATCTTTGCACATTAACTGGATGAGAAAATTCGAAACTTCTTCGTAGAATTTCTTTTCCCCCGCTGGCAGGCCGCCGAGAAGGCCGGTACAAGGACTACTAAGACCGAGGGGTGCACTCGGGAAATCATAGGAACCGACTAATACATCGAATAGGCTCTATTACGCCGGGGCGAGTTAAACAAATATGTCCCAAAACAACACAGAAATGGGTAAAATTCCGAGAATTTCGACTATTCGGCAACTCACCCTAAATGTTTTGCACAAATTTTGGACGAGACATCACAGTGTTTTGTGCACATGAACTTTTTATACGTATAAGTTGGTACAAAACTTTGCACAAAAATGGGGATATATGGGCAGTTTATCGTACAAAAATTTTACGCAAAGTTCGTGTGCACAACAAACTATGATGTCACTGATTTTTTAAGTGTAAAAATGAACTAATTTAAAACGCAATAACATTTTTATTGCATTAGTAGCGCCATGAAAAAGTTATTGCATTATAAGTGCAATAATTATTGTATTGCATTGGCGCATTTATCGCATTATTAGCGTAGTTATCATTTTATGGCACCAAAACTGTGATAATCTGGGCCCAGATCGGCCAAAACCTAAGGGACTTATTGCATTTTTAATGCGATGATTTTTGGCCCGTCCCGTTCATTTTTTGTAAAAAAAATGACGGAGGGACGGGCATATAGTATGATCCCTGCTGTGCGTCCGTCGTCGTCCGTCCGTCCGTCCGTCCGTCCGCCCGTTCGTCGAGGACTTCCGTGGTCCGATCTTGGCCAAATTTGGTATGCAGCCTCCTTGGGTGACCCTAAGAACCGCCCGGTGGCAGCAAATCCGATCCGAGCCCGGGGACGCTGCTGCAGTGGCATCATGGTCTACATGGGGTCGAGAAGGATCTCGGCAACGGATACAGCTAGCAGGGCATGTAGGGGTATTTTTGGAATCGGGGCGACGAGAAAAAACCAATGGTGCCAGTTTCGAGAGAATCGGAGAAGTTCGGACCCGGGTTCAAATCCCAGCGGGGTATTTTTTGAACATTCTTTTATTCGAGTTTTTGCATTGTTTCTGACGTTTTTGAGGGTGCTGATGACGAAAACGACATTATTTTAACCCCAGACTCAGGTTTAATTCCGTCAGGGTCAAACATGGGCGAAATTCGTACGTATCTTACTGTACGGGACGGGCCAAAGTTGCCGATGTAAATCGCTACTTTTCCTGTTATTTTATTGCTGCCACAGATGCGATAATTTGAAGAAATCACACTTGCCTTTTTATCGCAGCAAATTGTATGAAACTTATCACATTAGAAATACCAGTGGTCTCGTACAAAATTAATTGTTCAGTACATTAACTGTGAACGCGAGTGAAAATCCCCTCGACTAGTGCAGTACGGTGCTACGCTGATATTTCTGATGTGATAAGTTTCATACAATTTGCTGTAATAAAAAGGCGAATGTGACTCCTTCAAATTAACGCATCTGTGGCAGCACTATAAAATTATCGCATTAAGATGCAATAAGTCTCTTATGTTTTGGCTGGTCTGGGCCTACATTATCACCGTTTTTGTGTGATAAAATCATTACTACGCTAATAAAGCGATAAATGCGCTGATGCAATACAATATTTATTGCACTTATAATGCAATAAATTTTTCATGAGGCTACTAATGCAATAAAAATGTTATTGCTTTTTAAATTAGTTCACTATTACACTTGGAAAACCAGTGTACTTCCCCTGCCCCCTATTATCTCCTTAAATGTAAATGCAGAATCCGCGCCTGACTCTGATGGGCCTTGTGGTGCAGGGAGGCTGAAAGGTTGGCCGATATAATCTTCGTAAGGAATCGCGGGTTCCAGGCAATGTCCGGCTCGGCCTCACCTTCTGGTCGACGGGGCACTGCTTGGCCGGCAGCTGCATCAGGCAAGACAGGCAGTACGTGTGGCCGCAGGGAAGGAACTTGGGGCGATGTTCTGCATCGTTGAAAGTCTGCATGCACACGTCGCAATCCATCTGCAACAACAAAATACATTTTGGTTTAAAAAAAGCCTGAAAGGTAGCAAGAAGCCAAACTTTTCAGGTATGTTTATAAAATCTCGAGAAGTTTTGATAATTTACGAAGATACTGGGTATCTTACAGAGATTCGTTGTAAGTCCGTCGACATTCGGCGGAAACTCACGGAAGCCTTCTCTACAAACTCAACTGTGTACATGGTACACTCCACCTGGAGTGTACATGCATGTACACTTCAACCTGAAGTGTACTTGGCATGTACACTCCACGTGGCGTGTACCTTCAGGTACACTGTTGCTGGCTCCTGCTGCAGGTATGAGCCACCTGGCATGGACTTGGCAAGTACACGCCAACCTGGAGTGTACATGCCAAGTACACTTCAGGGTGAAGTGTACATGCCAAGTACACTCCAGGGTGAAGTGTACATGCCAAGTACACTCCAGGGTGAAATGTACATGCATGTACACTCCAGGTGGAGTGTACCATGTACACACTTGAGTTTGTAGAGTTTCCAAAGATTCTTCGTGTTAACAAATAATACCGTAGAACGCACTGAGAAAACCTTACAAACTATTTTGGGCCTTACAAAGAAAAGTAGTTTGTATAACAAAGTATTTTGAGCATACGTAAGCTTACAAAGAAAATACTTCGTAATTTACGAACTATTTCTTCGTATAACAAAGTATTTTAGTTTGTTATATGTATGCTCAAAATACTTCGTAAGGTTTTAAGAGTGCGGAGATGAGACAAATTTCGAGGGTTTTATGCCACTTTCACCCTTTTTACCCTTTTAATTTCAACTTGAGGAGCTGAGTTGGTTATCACTTGTTCATTGACTCTTTGGCTGCACTGCCACCAAATCTAGGATTTATAGATGCATGAAACCCTCAATAACCCTCGGACTGTCGTCCCGTCGTCCCGTATTTCCCTGCAATGTGGGGTAATGTGGGACAAGGAAAATGGTAAAGAAGTATGGTACATAGGCTCTTCTAGGCAGGTTTGGAGCTTTGTAAGTACCTTACATTCCTTTAAAAGATGATTGGGGACTTTCGTGAAGAAGATATAAAAACTGGAGGGAAGAAAAATGGGTGACACTTAAGATGGCTGAAATATGTATAAACGAAAGTAGTAAGTTGTACTCTGGTTTAACCCATCACATGAAACTATAAGGGTATGCGTTTCCTGTGAGCAGCCAAGGCCTCCTACATCATGGTCTTCCAGGCGACCGCTGGAGAGCAGCGCGACAAAAACTGAAAAAATTGCGTTTAGTCTAGATTTTTGTTCATGTCCCATATTACCCCGTTCTACAATCCGTGAATTTACAAAGGAACCTTTGACAACATTTTTGACCGAAGTGCCACGTAAATTCATAACTAATTCCTTACAGAATACGCAGCGATTCGAACCACCTCCGTGAAGTTGGCATAGCCACTTAACGCACAAATAAAAAGCTAGTGAAGAGCAAAGAATCACAAAAATCGAAAACCAAAAGCGCTTCACATTAACTCAAACTTTTGAAAAACAGAAAGAAGCATATATTATCGACGTTTCAGCGTTTAACTGGGCTCGCTACTCACTGTCTGCTCCATTTCCCTGATCCGGTTTCACTCTCCTTCTCAAACAAACGAGACGAAATGTGACAAAAGTCACGTTCGTTTGAGCATTGTGTACCATTCATTGGGTGTGAATTGTCCAAAAATCAGCTTGTTCACAATCAGACGAACGTGACACAAAGCTCAAACGAACGTGACATTTTGTCACCTTCGTTTCAACGTGATGTCACGTTCCTGGAATGAGAGTGCGACCTTCGCTTCCGGTGGCTCCTACGCAATGCCCCAAATGAGTTCAAAACTGATTAGGAAAATTTGCTTTAGGGGAGATTGTCTGAAGGAAAAATACACATTTGGAAAAGCAGCTTAGGTAAACTGGGCGGGAACGGCTGAAAGACAAGTATGTTACGCAGGACTTGGTTTGAGACGAATGTCATACCTTCAGGGTGAAGAAACTCCCGGCCGTATGGTAGCTGCTGCGTTCAGTAGACACCAAGAAGCGTCCGTCCCGGAGAGAAAGGAGGGATGTAGGAGAACGCTGTCAATCGCAGCGCCAGAGCTAGAACGGAAGAGGCAGATGACTTCAGCTGTCGCAACACGAACACGCAGAGAGTCTACACTCTTAAAAGCCTACGAAGGATATGCTACAAAACTACAAAGAAAATGAAGGCGTGGTAGAATTGCTTCGTATTACGAAGAAATGCTTCGTATACTAAGGATTCACTCTCATTCAGGAACGTGACATCACGTTGAAACGAACGTGACAAACTGTCACGTTCGTTTGAGCATTGTGTCACATTCGTTTAGGGTGTGAATTGGCCGAAAATCAGTTCGTTCACATTCAAACGAACGTGACACAATGCTCAAACGAATTTCAACGTGATGTCACGTTCCTGGAATGAGAGTGTTTTGCTTCATGATACGAAGCATTTCTTCGTAGATTTTACAATGCCTTCATTTACTCCGTATTGCGAAGCGATTCTTCGTAGAGTTTTTACTGTGTACACACCGCCACAAAGAGGGGGGCGAGTGAAGGAAAGAAGAACAAAAGCCGGAAACAGTCCTTAGGAGTCGTTATGTTTACCACTACACGTTGTTTCGGGTTTCATAATTGGCTAAAATTAATTAGAGTGTCGTTTCATAATTCAACCCCCCAAAAATTCAGATTATGACGATTTTGGTAACTGGTTCCGGTGCTCATCTCTTCCGCACTCAGTTTTCTGTTGATTAGAGTATTCCTACCCAATCAGACGGAAGTAAGAAGAACTCTAACAAGAGGTACCAGTGACAGTTTCAATTACATAAGAAGATGTGGCGGAGGGGGCAGAACATGACAAACTCTCCTAGAATGACAGCCATGGTTGCCTCCACCAGCTCAAGAGGCAGTCCGTCAAACGTGAAGGACCACTGTTTTCGAGAAATAAGTTCGAGGTGGCTACAGGTAGTTGCGTGCGACGGGTTGTTCGGTGAGCTGTTACGCAAGCGATCAGGAAATCAACGAGCAAGTCTGAAGTGGTACACTCTCATTCCAGGAACGTGACATCACGTTGAAACGAACGTGACAAACTGTCACGTTCGTTTGAGCATTGTGTCACATTCGTTTAGGGTGTGAATTGGCCGAAAATCAGCTCGTTCACATTCAAACGAACGTGACACAATGCTCAAACGAACGTGACACTTTGTCACGTTCGTTTCAACGTGATGTCACGTTCCTGGAATGAAAGTGTAACGATTACGTGAATGTAGATCGACACTTGTCCCCTGAGGCGGCCAAGGTGAGCCGGGTCTCCTGACCGGAAGTTTGAAAACATTCTTTGTAAGGCTGTAAAGACCGTTGTGTGCCGGTCCTGACTCGGAACGTCAACTTATCGAGTGATAGTTTAGTCAGGATCGAACCGAGTAAAAGATAGATAAGGAATTCTAAACGTGCAAGCATCTTCCTTACCAAGATCATCGTTTTAGACTATTCTAGTCGTCGTCGATCGAAGAACAAGAAGAAGAACAAAGCCGGAACTGGCCCGGCAACATAACCTCCCAGACTGCTATAGTGGACTGGTTTCTGAGTTTTCTGTAGCGTACTTCTTCAAAAGCACTTTCGTTTGTTTCAAACACTTTTTGACTCAGGAAATAAAAATATTTGTCGACATTTCTCGTTGCAACCGGGCTTGATACCTACTCCGTTTCTGCCCGGCTTCCGATTTTGTTGTTCTTTTTGTTCTTCGATCGGCGACGACTAGAATGCTTTATTGGAATCAAAAGTGCGAAAATTATTTGTGCATCATGAGGTGTAGCGTTGTAGCGTAGACAAACGTTGTTTTCACTCTTTGCTTTGTGTTGATCAGGGACATCCACTTTTAGGGTAGTGCTTTTTAGTAGAGCTCTTAAGGGAAGGGGGTTCTGGCGTGCACAACGCTGCGGTTCATGGGGGTACCGGCATTCGAGCCAGTATAACGTTACGTTTAACACTTCAAACATACACTCAAGACTCCTTACGGACACCATGTATCCGCAATACGGACGGTTTTGTGCAAGCGTAATTACGGATGGATTTTGTTTGTAATACGGATGATTTTATCCGTATTACAAAGGTTTTCGTGTCCGTAACATACAGTCGAAAATATCCGTATGGTACGGACGTAAAACTCTTTGTAATACGGATGATTTCATCCCGTATTACAAGCAAATCTATCCGTAATTGCAATTGCACAAAAATGTCCGTAATACAGATAGCATGTATCCGTAAGAAGTTTAGTGTGTATGAGATTATATTCAAAGGTTTTCCACGTTAAATTTAGCGTACAGTCAGGCTGGGAGGGGGTGGTGGTCAAAAAGTGCTCAAAACTGCGTAACGTATCAGGGTACTTTCGTGGATCCTGAACCGGAAGCTCTCAGACGCCATGTTGGCGGAAGTAAGTCTAAACTTGACATGGGAAAGAGACGATCGTCAAACGTATCGGCCACACCTTATCCTTAATAATCGTTTGATACTTATTTGCCATGCATATGTGATTCGCGAGCAATATTTGTACAGCTCGTCTTTATTTTAAAATTCCGGGGGGGGGGGGGGGAGTTCCGGCCAATATGGCGTCTGCTTGCTTCCGGTTCAGGATCTACGAAAGTACACTATAGACCCTTTCAGTCGTGGCCGGCTGAAGAATTGAAGTATTCAACAAAAACTCCGGTACCAGCAGCGCGCCACCTAGCGGCCGTTCTGCGAACAGTCAAAACCTGAACCCTATGAGCAGATCAGTCACAAGCGTAGGTCAGGACGAAGTTCATAGCAGCGGCAGCTAGGTGGCGTGCATCTAGTTCCTGATCATTGATTACTTAAGTTCTTCACTGGGGACTGAAAGGGGCGGTCAATAGATTGCCCCTTATTTTGTTGTAAAAAAACAGTACGTCTCAAATCATTGCCTGCGAAGAGCTATCCCTTTGCAAGTTGTCAAGAGTGAACAGCTTCGGAAGCAGTTCCATCAAAACGGTACGGACGTTAGTTTAATGGAACAAGAAATCATCCTAGAGAAAAGCTGGACCGCAACATGTTGCGAGCTGATTTTTGCAGGACTTAAAAGCTTTTGATTGCCCTTTCGGATTGTCTAAACAGTGGTCTAATTTACGACGACCAAAACATCAACAGTGGCCACAAACTTTGGATAGTCGAAGTCCCTGACTTTCCCGGGACGTGGAACCAACTTTCCCTGACCAGTTTAATAGTGAAGTGAAAATTATGGAATAGAAATTCTGCTTGTCGACACTTCAAGTAATTTTAGACGAAGCGACCTAGAAGTTGATACAGGAAAATTCGATTCTGTCGGTTCGATGTCAGCCTTTAGATGAGTTTCTCGCCCACACTGCTCAATCTGCCTCCGACAATTTTGATTTTCCCGGACGATTCCCGGTCACCTCTTTTAATTTCCCTGTCTTGTCCTGGCATGTGGCCACCCTGTCTGACACAATATCTTGTCAAGGTTAACTAAGAGTTTTCCGATTTTGAGAATTTCGTTGCACCCCGGCGTCGCCGTACGCGTGCAGTTCGGAAGATAAAGAAGTGCGGTAATATTACCGTACAATATTCTTTGAGTGCGGTCAATTGTGCATTCCGACATTTTCATGAAGGAAGGCAGAAGATACTTGCCTCTCAAGTATAGAATGTGTTTTTATTTGTCCTGTTTATGTTTCAGATGGAGTGCGACGTGTGTAAGCAGGTCTTCGACTGGACGGACCGCTGCCCGAAGGTCCTACCGTGTGGGCACACTTACTGCCTGCAGTGCCTGAAGCAGCTGCCGACCAATGAGTGCCCCATCGACAAGAAGGTAAGAGGGTCCAGCCACACTGTTAGAAATTAGCTCCGAAATTTTATGGAGAAAAACCCTTAATCACGTTCATGGAGACTCCATTCATTTTCCATCTTTTTTCGGAGAGATTTTCTCAGGGCTTAAACAGATGTACTTCGGAGCATTACTTGGTTCCTGATGGGAGGTAAAATGCATGTCTTTTCTCAGATATGTTAAAGAGGACTCTGCTGAAGCATTCTTTAGTCTGAAATGGCAAAGAAGGGACAATCTCCTTCGAGCTCATTTGACTTATATCCTGCAGCTTTTCCCTACACTGAAGACTCCTTACGGACACCATGTATCCGCAATACGGACGGTTTTGTGCTTGCGTAATTACGGATGGATTTTGTTTGGAATACGGATGATTTCATCCGTAGTACAAAGGTTTTCGTGTCCGTAACATATAGACGAAAATATCCGTAAGGTACGGACGTAAAACTCTTTGTAATACGGATGATTTCATCCGTATTACAAGCAAAATCTATCCGTAATTGCAATTGCACAAAAATGTCCGTAATACAGATAGATGAATCCGTAAGAAGTTTAGTGTGTAATATTATGGAGACTGAGCTAAACAAGTAGGGGTTCACCTTCCCTCATTTTTCAACTGATTGCAAACCTTTTTTTCGTGATTTCGTGATAGTAAAGCATACATTTTTGTTCAAAATTCCGAAACTTTTCGAAGAAAGCCCTTTATGGAGAGCTCCAAGCAGAAGTTTCGGAAAAACTCCATGATTTTTCCATTTTTTTTTCGGAATCTTCTGACAGTGCAGGAAATTGCTTGGTATGCAATGCAAAGAAAGGGTACGACGGACCGTGTCTTATCGTAACAGGCTTCGCGACGCTGCGCTGGTCCGTACGTCAATCCCTCTGTTCCTCAGTTTGCTGTACTGATATTAGCATTTTTTTTTTCAATAAAAGAACTAAGTGCTTGAATACAGTACCACGTAAAGTCGTCAACACAGCAATAATTGGGAAGGCCCATAAGCTAATCTTAAAATTCCTTTTTCAACAATACACTAAACTTCTTACGGATACATCCTATCTGTATTACGGACATTTTTGTGCAATTGCAATTACGGATAGATTTTGCTTGTAATACGGATGAAATCATCCGTATTACAAAGAGTTTTACGTCCGTACCATACGGATATTTTCGTCTGTATGTTACGGACGTAAAACTCTTTGTAATACGGATGATTTCATCCGTATTACAAGCAAAATCTATCCGTAATTGCAATTGCACAAAAATGTCTGTAATACAGATAGGATGTATCCGTAAGAAGTTTAGTGTGCAATATTACAGCCTTCCCCGGATTTCTGCGCAAATGAGTTTGAATAAGTATTTTAATTTGCGTAATTACCTACACTGACACTTCCACCGTATGGACACTGGCGGGACGGTGATTCGCATTCGAAGGCGTCAGAGCGCGGCACTGTCGCGAATAGAGTAACATCTGTCGCGACTCCGTTAGGTCCTGCGCCTGCAGTCCTTCCTGTCCGGAGTCACGTCGGATATGCCGACGCCGACTAACCATAGGACTAACCGTTCCTTCGATGACGAACTTCATGCGCGTTAGATAAAGATCTGTCGCGTTAGAATAAGATCTGTCGCGCATAAGATCTGCCGCGATTAGAATAAGATCTGTCTTTTCCTCGTTAGGTTAGGGTAGGTTACAACCCGTCAATTTTCAGGCCCTCGTACCTGTTGTAAGGTTACCCATACTGTTCCACCTATTCACACTAATATGTATTATTCACACCCCAATCTCCTGCCCTGCTTATAACTCTGTACCCTCTAGTCAGTTTTCTTGAAACCCGTAAAGAAGCTCCATCAACTTGGCCTTTTAATTAATCCAACCTATCAACACAACATGGCGCAGTCGAGGACGTAATCAGCGGACCCAGCTTAAATCCAAGCCCATCCAGAAGTATCATCGATCGAAATCATCAAGAAGAGACTGGTTCAAGCAGGCCGGCGAGGCGGGAATTTTTTTCTCTATCTATTTCCCATAACCTCGCACACCACGTGGAGCGAAATTGTCAAAGTAAGTCCATTATCAATCATCAAACATGGCTTACGCAGTCCCACCACC